GGGCTTGAGTTTGAGTGTGAAACACAGATTTCCACAGCAGAAGAAACAAGTAAAAAAGGAGGTATCTTCCCGGGGCTGTGGGAAAAGTCCTCCCTGGATTTGGAGTAAGACTAGAAATTGGGTTCACTTCCCAGCTCTGCCTCTTACTCCCTGTGTAATAACCATAGCTGTCATTTATATAGTATTTTAACTATATCATCTCATTTGGTCTTCACAATAATCCTGTAGGGATAGGCACCACAGGACATATTATCTCCATTTTACAGAAGATAAACCTGAAAGATTCAGAGAGTGAAGGGCCTTGCTCATGATCATGCAGCTGACAAGTAAGTATCAGTAGTAGGATTCACACCCAGGTCTTCCTTACATCAAGTTCAATGCTCTTTCCATTGCATCATGGAGCCTCTGTGACTTTGGGAAATTCACTTAAGCTCTTTGGGCCTCAAAACTCAGAAGACAGAGGAGGGTTGAATGAGAAGATCTCTGAAGTCTCTTTCAGGTCTAAATCTGTAATCCAATGATCCTAGATGGTCTCTCTCCACATCTGTCTTTCGCTCTCCCTACGTTCACAACAAGACATCCCCTTCCAATTTTCGGATAGGACTGTTCCTTATCTAGAAGACAGAGGATGGTTTAGAAGTTTAAGAGCCAAGACAAGTGCAGCTTTTGTTGAGCAAATACTGGTTCCTACTTACATGGATAACCTATTACTACACCTGGTGCCCAGTATAGAGCAGTTGAATTGAACCGAATCAAATTGAATCCATTCTTCCATTCTTCCCAAGAACCTGCATTAGCCAAACTAGCATCTGCAGACTGACCAGATTCGTCAACCTTCCAGCTCATCAAATACCCTTCAGAATTGATTTCCAGATTCACCAGTGACTTGTCCCATTCTTTTATCTTGCCATACTTATCCCTTGTGCCTCTTCCAGAATAGGACAGGTAACATATTGAAAAGGTGGCCAGGAGAGGTCAAATCATTTTTCTCTATCATGTCCCATTGAGTAGGGCATGTTGATTGGAACTTTCCCATTTTAGGAATTTGAAGCATCTGTATCAAATTCAGGGTGAGACTCTTGGGCCTAGGCAGCTGCTGAAAGCCCCAGCCCTAGTCATCTTCTAGAAGCTAAACTTGTCCAACTGAGCAGATTTCTCTGAAGACTGGATGGGTAGGCTACAATAGGGATAGTTACCTGAAAGTTCTGCCTTGTCTTTGTGCCTGTAGAAGTCTCTACAGAGAGTAAAAAAAAAATATCAGGGTGGCTTCCACCCTGCCAGATAGCTTTGGGAAAAAAGATAGTCTTCCTTTTGTTTTTAAGAGTTTGGGAGCTGATCCACCTTAAAATGAACAGGCAGCAAGCCTGGCCAATAACCATAGAGGACACCACCCAACACTTTACTCTTTTGCCAGTCTGGAGGAAGAAAATAATGGTATTTAGAGGAGAGAGAAGATATATAAGTGATGGAACAGTTGGTTATACATTATAGATTGTAATAAATGAAAATATCGAGTGCATTTTAAGTGATTAATGTATGAAAACTGCCTTCACCTACTGTGCATTAATCAAGAAAAAATGCACACTTTCCATAGCAGTTAATGTTGCCGGCCCATTATTCAGCTCTGATAATGTGCATAATAATGCTCAGTATGACAATGAGTTGGGGTAGCTGAGAATTTAGGATGGTTGGTGTAGTATTTGGATTAGCATCTTAGCCCATGCCTTGTCAGCCTTGTTGGTACACAAGTTATTTATATATATGTACGTGTGTGTTTACGCACATACATGTATGTATATATATATTTTTTAAAACTAGCCAAAAATATCTAGCCATTGCCATTTTTTTTGCTTTTGCTTTTTTTTTTTTTAAATCAATGACCAAGGTACCTGCTTAAACAAATACTACCAGCACTCATTAGTCAGGATGGTTACATGTAAAAGAAATGATGCCAGATAGTAACAAATCCAAGAGAAGTTTATTATGAAAATGGCACCTGCGGATGAAAAAATTAAGTTACATAAAGACAACCATGTATGTGACATGTATGAGGATCTACAAAAGTATAAAAAGAACCCTGTTGTAAATGAAGTATGTACATTTCTGATTTGCAGCATTATCAATGGTCAATGAAAAAAATGTCTCAAAATAAGCCAGGCACTCAAGAAGTTAGATTCGGTTAGCTTAACACAAAATAAATGTACCATAGCTGTCGCTTTTTAACATTTTAATTTTTTTTTATATCGTAGAGTTGGTAACACCGCTAAGATTTATACGAACAGAATATCCCTTTCCCCATTATTCAGCTACTTGGCACCAGTCTCCTCATAAAAGATTTCATATATTTGTACAAGAAATAGTTAAAAACACAGACACAGTCTTCACAGGTAATGAAGTTTTTTTTTTCATTTTGTAATTTTAAACACTATGGATTTAGACAGCAGCTGTGATTATCTGTTAGTTTAAATCACCAGAAATCATTTTGACACAACACAGAAACATTTATAAAAAAACAAAAAACAAAAAACGAAAACAAAACAACAGCTGTCTAGCTGTTCTTTGTAGCTGATAGGTGCATTCCTTTGATTGTTCAATAGCTAGAGTAGAGCTTCCAAAATTAAACTTTAAATTTCTCAATCAGCTTTCTTGACTTTTTAAACCTATTTTAATCCTTCAAATATAACCTTTATAAGCTCATCATTAAAATTTGTGGCATCCAATTTTTTTTTTCTTTTTTGCTATTATTCCACTGTGGGTTAGGCCTAACGCCTCAAATTCAAAGCCACAAGAGGAATTGGCTTAACCTAGTAACACTTAAAGGACAGCTGAGTTAATAGATTAGCATTGCACACATAAGCAAATATACATGACAATCCTAAGCTCAGTTTCCCTTTTTTTAATTAATAGTGCCAGTTGACCATTTGAAAGCATATTCTATCTCACTGGTAATTATTCTGTATATTGCTCCATCGGCCAAGCTGGGAGAAAAACCAAAGAAAAGCACCCTCTGCTTACATTTAGAGCACAAGGGACTCTGGGAATGTTAACAACTGAGGCGATATGGCATCAATTTGTTTAATATATCTGAGCATCACTCTTCAGCGCATTGCATGGCACACTTGAAGAGTAAGTCATACCCAGAATTCCTCTGTGGGAAAAAATGGCTCCATTAACCTTGAGCTAGTTAAGAGTCTTTTTATCTCTGAGAATGAAAAGGGGGTGGGGAGGTTTGAAGGAAGGAAGGAGAGGAAAGGGGAGACAAAAGAGGAGGAGAAAGAAAGGAGCAGTAGGAGAATATACAACAGCAAAGCAACAGCAGAAATGAAAGAAGGTTTACAGACAGTGGAAGCAGCATAAGGTGACGTTACAGAGGAAGGCCACCACACAAAAAACCACTAACCCCCAAGAATCACTGGTTCACTAGGACTGCAGGAATGGGACTTTACCACTCCAGACTAGAGATAAAGCACAGAGAAGACAAAGGACAAAACAACTACATTAGCTTAGTATATACTGCATATAGTAACACACATTGAAACTGCAATGGGACTGACAGCCAAGGACACGTACACATTGTACACATTACAGTTCTCACATCTGTTATTAGATGCCTTAACAAACAGCTGCCAAAAATGGAGTGGAAGAAGAATTTATACTTGACAGTCATTTGGAGTGTTTGACACTACACCGTGATTTCTGGCAACAAAGACAAAATAGGAGATTTCTTTTCTTTTACTTAATGTGCAGTTTTCAGTTGTAGTTATCTATTTGAAGCTTATTAACCCATTCTTTAGTTTTTAAAACATATTGGTTTTGACACTAAAAAGAAGAGAACCAAAAAAAAAATCTGTAAAACCAAATCAACCCCCCCAAAATACAACCTTCCCTCTATAGCAACAAATGAAAAAAAATTAAATGTTAAATATTTTTCTTCCTTTTTTTTTTACTCCAAAGTGTTATCTGAAGTTGTAAAATTAGCCTCAGTTAGACTGAGAAAAAAAGGAAAAGAGAACAACGGAACACAGTATGCACCTAAAACTGCTCCTCAAGTCAGTTTAATTGAGTTTTCTGAAAGCGCTTTTTAAAAAAGGCTTTGCTGACCCATTAAATTTAATGTGAGGCTATGTTTGTTAGTTGGGAGGTAAAAATTTTAAGTCCTGCAGCAAATGTTAATGAGGGCTTTGTCTTAACTAACCAAGGAGACTGCAGCAACTGACTACAGACCAGGACAGAACACATGCCTTTCCAAAACCCAGCCCACTGAGCTGCATTTTGTATGAAGACATTACAGATTAATAAATGATAGCACCATGGTTTTAGAAATTAAGTTAATGTTTCAGTAATTAACATTTAGTCCAACTTTTTTTTTAAACATTCTAGACACAGGCCAGAAATTAAGTTTTTAAGAACCCAAATTATTTTTATGTGCAAGTAAGAAAATCTTAACCATAAAAAGAGAATTAAATTCTGCATAAAATTCTAAAATACTATCCCCTATTTTTAAAGGAATTAGGAACAAAAACCCCATTTCATTTGACTTAGTCAAACAGGGCACATTGTTTATGCTTGTCTCTTTCAATCTTGATCACATCAAGATCTTGACGAAGGAAAAAACCAATGGTTGTCACTTTTTAAAATCTCTTTACCACAACACTGAGTATTCTATGGCAGAGGCATTCTCACATTAAAGGCATCTCAATGAAGATGCAAAGGAAAAAAAAATAAAACAACACACACACACATCTCAGAAGAAGACAAAATGGCAGGCAACTGGTACTCTGACCCTCTGGAGGCAAAAAAAAAAATTAAAAAAAATTAAAAAATATTTTTTATATTAAAGAATGTCAAGTTAACGAGAAAGGGTATGGAATGGGGAAACTCATCGTGTTTGAGAGAATAAGCTGACCTGCTGAAATTCAAAGTGCTAGAATTAAGGGTCTAAATTAAAACATAGTCTATGCCTCGAGAGTGTAACACTGGAAACACAGTAATGTGGTCATGTCTCAATCCTCTTTCCGCTCCAGAGTCTGTGTAGTGTGAATACCATTGCTATACACAGGAAATGGAAGAGTGGAAAAAAGTCCCTCGGCCGTGGTGAACACGTTCCCTGCCGGCATTTGGGTCAGGCTGGCCCCGCTCACTGCACTCCCGAATGGTCCCGACATATTGAGTCGGTGGACGTGGTGGTAGAGCATCTCCATCGGTGTTTTGGGATCCAGCCCGAAGCCGGGGCTGTTGACATCGACAAAGTTCACCGCGTGGGTGTTGGGGAGCAGATTGCCTTGCATGGCTAAAGTAACCTCGGCGGGCGCGTAGCGGATCGTGCCAGTGGTGTAGACCCTCTGGGCGGCCGTGCTGGTGGCGGAGAGGGTGCCCGTGACCCTGTGGACCAGAGGCAGCACCACGTTGCCCGCCTGCAGCCTCTGCAGGGCCTCCAGGTCCCCAGTGTACAACAAAGAGTTGGAAGACGTGCTGGGACCGGCCCCGCTGCCCCCACCGCCCCCGCTGCCCCCGACGCCTCCTCCGCCGCCGCCCCCGCCGGGGTGCTTGTCCCGGGGGGACGCGGACAGCGGGGGCGACAGGGGGTCGGAGGAGACGGGGGCCAAGGCCGAGTTGGATGAGGTGCTGAACTGAGATTTGCGGCTGGCAGTGCTCTCGGTCCCCGGCGGGGTGAGGACAGAGTCTGGAATGGAGACGTGTAAACTACTGCTGGCTTGGGGGGAAGGGAAGTGCTCGGAGTTGGGGGGCTTGGTCATACTGTAGGGCGATTCGTTCCTTGAGATTTCCCGGTTGGGAGGGTAATTCCAAATACTGCTATCGTTATCAAAATTGATAGGTTCTGAGATCTCAGTTTTGATTTTGAGCACTGAGGCACTGTTTGGTGACGACAGCAGCTGCGGCGGGTCCACCAGAGCGCCGTCCAGCCCGTTGGGGCTCGAGGTGCTGGACAGCCGGCGGCGGCTCACGCTGCCCCCCTTCTGCTTTTTCCTCCTCTTCTTGCGCTTCTGGTGCTTGCTGGAAGACTGGGCGCTCGCCTCGCCCGCGCTGTCCGAGTCCTTGGCGCTGTCCGAGGTCAGCGACTCGCAGTTCTGCAGCCGCAGGTCCGTCTCGCTCTCCACGTAGCGCTCCACCTTGATCTGCATGGAGCCCAGTGTGCCGAAGCTGTCTTCTGTAGCCTTCTGGGTCTCAAAGTCCGAGTTCTCGAAGCTGTCGTCGCTGTCCCGGCTGTCCTGATTGCTGGAACTGTTGCCGTCGTCGTTACAGTTCATTTCGTTATCCGACTGGCGGCCGGACTTCTTCCGGTCGGACTCTGGGTCCTCGCTGTTCTCGGATTGGTTCCCCTTCTCGTCGGACTTGGAGTTTTCGTTGTCCTCTGGGGAGGGGGTGGGAGGGGAGGAAAGGGGAGAAGAGCAGAGTGAGGACGTCAACAGGAGCCAGAATTACTCATTTAACAAGGAACCCCAAGTGAAAAACACAAACAAACAAAAAGCCCCCCCCCCCCCCCAAATCGTTTCTGGGGGTACCCTGGGTAGCTCTCAGAGAAACTACTTGGAAGGAGGCGGGAGGGGTGGAGATTTTTAGTCTTATCTTTACTTCTTCCTTTAGTCTCAAAAGACTTTGAATTTAGGAGAGACTCCAGGCAAAAGGCAGCGCTAGTGTATTAGACATTAGATTGGGAGTCAAATCTTAACTCTGTGTGCCTGGGGGCAAGTCACTTAATCTCTCAGGCCCTCAGTCTTTGCTTCTTACTACCTGTGTCACTTAGGGCAAATCCCCTGACCTAACTGAGTCTCAGTCACCTTACCTGTAAAATGAAGTTGGACTACATGACCTCCAGGTCTCTTTCTAGTTTTAAATCTGAACGATTTAAGGCTTGGGGGTCTTGTCACAACCTCTGGCTGTGGAAAACCCTTTTTGCTATTAATGAACCAGAGCAGATTGAGTTGAGATCCTAAGCTCAAAGGGCTTATATTTTAAAAGGCCTCTGCTTATTTATATTTGCTCTTGCATTCAGTTCATATTTATCATCAAAGCAGTTCATAACCTTTCACACGGAAAAATAGTTATCAGACAAAAATCTTGCTCTTCTTATGAATCAATTAGGCAATCTGAAAACTCACTAAGCACCTACTATGTGTAATAGGGCATTGTTGCTAGGCTTCCTCAAATCACTTGGTTGCACTGTGAACAAGCTGTAGAAATAAGGAGATGGACAGACCATCAGTGTTTTATAAACTCCTTTTCTCTCTTTTTTTCTCTGATAGGAATAATATTGTGAAATACAAAGTTTCACTTAGATTTATAAGGATTGCTGCAGTCTCTAAAGGCCTTTGCTACATGCTCAATAGAGCATGGGTCCCCCAGTGGGGAAAGAAGTGGGGTGGATTGTTAGTCATGTTTCCATTGAGAAGCTCTGAAAACAAAGCAGTGGATGATCAGTCCCAGAGAGGACAACATGAGGACAAGGAAAAATGATATTGCAAAAGAGGGGGCTGCTCCAGGAAATAGATTCCATTCATGAGGGCTTTTAAAGTTTAAAATGGCAGCTCCAGATGTTATCAGTCAGTCAATAAATATTTATTAAGCACCCACTGGGTGCCAGATACCTTGCTAATCACTGGAACAGGAAGACAGAGTTGGGAAGTATATGGAGTTTAGAGAAAGCCCACTCATCTCATCTGGTGCTCTTGATGCTTTTTTTTTTTTTCCAAACTTGCTAATGAAAAACTCTCCTTGCCTGGATAGTCTACCTCTGTAGTCTTCAAGGGATAAGTGAATCTCAGAACTAAGCTATTATCCTCCACTAAAGTCTTCCTTTGCTGCCTCATCTTGGCATGGACCACTGAATAGCTGAAAAGGGACCATAGGGATCATCTAATTCAATCCTCCCATTTTACAGAAAAGGAAACTGAGGCCAGGAAAAGTAAAATGGCTTGCCTAAAATCACACAGGTAGTAAGTGGCAGTCAGGATTTGGAGTCAGATGCTGTGAATCCAAATTCAGTGCCCTTTCAACTGTGCTATGCTACTGCCTCCCTGTTCCCACTTTCCTATCCCAAATATACACCATAATGGTTTGCTTCTCTACTTTTTTTAGATATTTTACTATTTAATGCTTAAGATATCATTCATATTCACTATATGAAAGTCCTGGTTTCTCAAAACAAAAACACCCAAAACAAAACCTGGAACTCTCCAATGGAAATATACAATATATTATCTAATTGTATAAATAAAAGTACTATGATTTCATCAGCACAGGGGACTCTTGTCTTGGGAGCTTTTACCACCAATCAGATCACAACCCTTCAGTGATTTAATAGTGTGACATATAGAGGTTGTGACTTTTCCAAGGTCACACAGCTAGTAAGTATGATACGAAGAATTTGAACACAAGTCTTCTCACTTCCAAGCCCGGTACTTGACTATGTTCTACATTATCTAATTAATACTTTGTTAATTTACCTAGTGTTAACTTTGTCTTTATTGGCTATAGTCTAAACCACTGGGGCAATTTTTAAGTTCTCTTTGAGATCACAGTGATTGAGCTCATCGAAACTTTGAAGTAAAGGGGACTTTTTTTTGGTGGGGGAGGGGAGGAGTAATTCTGACCCACATGCAATCATTTTTATAGATACACAAAGGGGAGGCAAGCAGCTTATCTAGGCATAAATTTTTTCTTTGTTTAAATTTTTTTAGGCAATTGGGGTTAAGTGACTTGCCCAGGGTCACACAACTAGTAAGTGTCTAGTGTTTGGTCTGAGGCCAGAATAGGACTCAGGAACTCCTGACCTCAGGGCCGGTGCTCTAACCCCTGTGCCACCTAGCTGCCCCCCATAACAATTTTCTTAATGTGCAATAGGAACAACAAGAAAGGACTGAAGTTGGGGGTGAAGAGGGGGATTTTCTTGGTCTTCCTAGAAGTCTGGTTTTATGTGTGTATGAGTATATCTGTGTCTGTGCATGTACATATATATATGCACATACATACATCTACACAGCCACACAGCATCTGTGTGTACAGTGTGTATGAATTTGTCTTCTTGATCATAGCTACCATTTTCCTTAAAAAAAAATTTAACTCAGTTCTACACAACAGTGTGATTATATAGTATTTCTTGAAAGGTCTAAGACTGCTCTTACATCCACTCACAGGGTCTGCTTGGCATGAAGTTGCTCTTATATCCACAGCCAAGAACCAAAGTATCTGGATGGCTGCCTATTGTTACTTTTTTAAAATGTATTTTTAAAAAATGATGAATTTATAGACACCTCCAAATCCTTCACTGTGAAAGACGTATCCATTTCTTTCACAATGGGCTTTTTCAAGAACAAAACTAACAAACTAATTGGTACCTACTACATGAGGCCTTTCCTGACCCCTCATGTTGCCAACTGTCTTCCTATCCCTTAAAAAATTGTCTTATATTGATTTTGTATATATGTATTTTGTGATTTCTTTGAGCACAGAGACGATTTCATTTTTGGTTTTCTATACGTGCCAATTAGCACAGTGCACTGTTTAAACGCTTGTTGATTGATTGACTGAACAAAGCAAATCATGCCTGAATTTCTCTTTAAATAACTTCTTTGTCCTGGTATACAGGGAACTAATTATATGGACCTTGTATGTATTACTTTTACTATTATTACTGCTGCTTCATATTTCCTAGTGCTCTGGTTGTAAATTACTGTTCTAGAATGGAAGATCCCTGATGGCAGGGTTAGATTTATGTCCCCGTAGCCTTGCAAAGTGCTTGGTACATTGCTGATGCTTAACAAATGCTTGTTTATTGACTCATGGGTTACTTTCACATTATCTCATTTTATCTTCCCAACAAACTGTGAGGAAGTCAGAACAGGCACTGTTATCTCCACATCTGGTTTCATGGGTTGTAACTGACTCTAACTTATAAGAGAACAAGGACAAGAGAGTGTTGACATGCAGAGAAGGGAGAGATGGATGGGTTGTGATATGCATTGTTAGAGGAAGCCTTCACATTGATAAGCTCACTGATCCATTTGGGCATTATGAGTATCTCGCTATAGCAAAAGATCTGTGGGCTTAGAGTGGCCATGTGTATCAATCAATCAACCAATCTATTAGGTGCAGTGTTGGGTTTACTGAGACAAAAATGGAGCAGTCTTGCCTTCAAAGAGATTACAATGAAGGAGATAATATATGCATATGTAAGTATATAAAAATAAAAGGAAGGCATTGGGAACTGGGGAGGGGGTTAGGGGGTCCAGCAACATCTCATGAAGGTGAAATGGAGCTGAATTTTGAGGAAAGCTAAGGCTTCAAGGAAGTAGAGATGAGGAAGGAGTTTATTTCAGGTATGAAAGAAAGTCAGTCCATAGAGAGAGTGAAGGAGAGTAATGGATAACAAAACTGGAAGAGAAGATTGGAGTGAAGCTTTATTCTGTATCCTCACTGTTTTTTGGCTCCCAGTGATGATGAGTTTGTACTTATTTCTAGAAGCAATAGGGAGTCATTGGGATTGATTGAGCAGGAGTCAGACTTGGGCTTTAAGGAAAATCATTTTGGTGGCTGTGTGGAGGATAGATTAGATAAGGATCCCCCTGAGGTAGGGGGGTCAATTAAGAGGCTAGAAGGCCTGAATCACCCTGAATTACCAAGTCTGTTTTTAGTGTCCCTTAATGGGGGGGGGTGAAGAGATAACATTGTTGAATAACCATTTCAAAGAAGAAGGTCCCCCAAGAGTGGATAGAATACCTGATATGGAATCAGGCAGGCCTAAGTTCAGATCTGACCTCAGACACTTACTAGTGACCCTGGGCAAGTTATTTAACCTTTGTTTGCCTCCGTTTCCTCCTCTGTTAAATGGGGATAATAGTAGCACCTACCTCTCAGGGTTGTTGTGAGGGTCAAATGAGATGTGTAGAGCACTTAGCACAATGCCCGGCATATAGTAAATGCTATATAAATGTTAGCTACTATTATTATTAGATGTCTTAGGATATCTAGGAGCATCCAGTGGGGGAAACCTCTATCTTACTCCTATGGTGATGACAGTAATATTAAGGAAGAGAATATATATATGTATATATATATGTGCATATATGTAAAATATATAAGTATGCAAATATCATTTTATATACTATGGTTATATACTGTGAATAGTATATAAATTATATATTTGTGCATTGTTATATATGAAATCACATATAATAACATAAAATTAGTATATAGTGCATCTCATATAATAATTACATATACACTATAATTCACATATATACATAAATATACATATACATATATATATATATATATTTTCAGGTTGAGAGGATAGGAATTACACTTCTGTAGCCTCTCCCATGTCTTTAAGATAGGAGAACTTTCTGCAGATATTTCCATCAAAGAGAATCTGGAGTGACATATTGAGACATCTATCTCTTCATCAGAGTGCAGGACAAGAAAAAAAAAGTTGGGAATGACATTGTTATGACTATCAAACAAAATTACTTAATTGTATCAAAGTCCCTCTTTGACTTAGCTTGGTCTGAATTTTACTAGCAAAGCCCTCCCACATGTTATAAACCTACTGCACTGTTAAAAATCCTCACATGGAACCTATCACAATCAAATACAATATTCAGGGACATGCCCATTCTAAGGGGACTAGTCCCACTGGACTGTGAAATCTCTGACTTAGGATGGGCTTAAGGAATCATCCTCTGGTCTCTGGAATATTTTACCTTTTAAATGTGATCTCCTGCTTCCCACCCAGAATTTATGGGTTTTCATAGCAAGGTGATACAATTTTATCTCATAGAGATTAGAATTTAGTGAGAAGGAATACTATCTTCTCCCTTCCTCCCCCACCAAATACAGCATTAATTCAACAGGGAGATGTCACAAGGCCTAAGTGAGAACTAAGTGAGAACATAGGATTACAACATCAGAGCCAGAAGGATCTCATCTTGGCCAACTCCATCAGTCACTAAGCATTTATTAAGCACATACTATGTACCAGGCACTGTCCTAAGCACTGGGGATACAAAAGAAAGGTGAAAATAGTATCTGCCCTCAAGGGGCTCATGATCTAATTATATAGGCTAGGAAACTGATATCCAGGGAGCTGTCAGGCAAGTGTCAAAGGAAGAATTTGAATGCAAGTCCTTTGACCCCAGAGTTAATGGACTTTCTCTCATACCACAATGACAAGCACTGTCTTAAAATTTATCAAACCCTGTGGATATACCAGGTATCTGGATTTTGGGGGGCAGTGGAGGGATATGCTCCCCAAAAGGCACCTAAGGTGACCTAATCTCTAAGATATTAGCATGATCTTTGGGGTCCTCAGCCAGGATTCTGAAGGAGTTTGCAGCCCAGTAGCCATTTTTAGGACATTTGTATTTTATCATATTGGAATTGGAAATGAGGTGCTAAAAATCCATGCCTTAATCTCACTAATGAAGCATATCATGCCTGAGAAGGGAGAGTTAGGAGAATCCTTGCTCCATCAGGATGAATTGGAGTCTTCTTGTTTTGGGGATAAAGAAGAAAACAAGGAATTAACTTATTTTTACTTTGTTCCTAAAAAGCAACTCAAGAAGTGTTTACCAAAGAAAAAAATAAAAGGCATAAAGATGGTGCATGGAATTGAGCTATAAATTACATTTCTATCCTTTGGAACGAGAAGCCCCCAGATACAATTAGTTATTCCAATTTAAAAGTCTCTTTGCTAGTTGAGGTTGTTGCTTATATGCTTTGTGGGGAAGATAATATTTTAATATTTTAATTTAAGTATTGTCTTCATGGGGGAAAAAAAAAGACCAGGAAGGGCTGCTTACTTATGCATCTCTCTCTCTCTCTTTTTTTTTTTAGGTTTCTTACTTCAAGAGAGTAGGTTGTTGGGTGACGGGGGGGCAGGGGAGGAAGGGAGGGAAGAAGGACGGAGGGTTCATTCTGTTCCATGGGGTTGCTAGCACAGCACTGAAATTTAACCATTGGTAAATAATTATGAACTTGTTCACTTCCCCTGTTTCAGAGGAGTTCATCTATCTCTGAACTGCCTGCCCTGTTGCAGGAGTTTGGAAAGGCAAGACTCAAAATCATGGAGTCAATGGGCTTGGGTTCAAATCCAGGTTTGGATGCTTACTTACAACTTGTGTGACCTTAGGCAAGTCAAATAACAAAAACAAAAACAATAATAACTGGCACATTAAAATAATAATATAGCACTTACTATATGCCAAGCACTTCACAACTATTATCTCATTTTCATTTGATCCTCACAACAACCCTGAGGACTGGGTACTATTATTATCCCATTTTACAATTTGGGAAACTAAGGCAAATAGAGGTTAAATGACCAGTGAAGGGTCACAAAGCTAGTAAGTATCTGAGGCCAGATTTGAACTCAGGTATTCCTCATTCCAGGTCCAGCATTCTATCCATCTAAGATTTGAAAAGCATCTGATTAATATTATCACATTTAAACCTGATAACTTTCTTTTTTTTTTTTTTTGCTTTTTGGTGAGGCAATTGGGGTTAAGTGACTTGCCCAGGGTCACACAGCTAGTAAGTGTCAAGTGTCTGAGGCCAGATTTGAACTCAGGAACTCCTGACTCCAAGGCTGGAGCTGTATCCACTGTGTCACCTAGCTGCCCCAAAAGACATTTTTTTTTGGCTAGGCAATGGGGTTAAGTGACTTGCCCAGAGTCACACAGCTAGCGAGTGTTATGTATGTAAGGCCAAATTTGAACTCAGGTCCTCCTGACTCCACGGCCGGAGCTCTACCCACTGCACCACCTAGCTGCCCCAGAGATGAGGTTTAAATCCAGATCTAGACTCTAAGGGCAGCACTCTAGCCACTATTCCAAGGTCATTTGTTAAATGAGAGGGCTGGGCTAGATGACCTTGAAGGTCCTTTCTAAATCTCAATCTATGACCCTTTCTCTAGTTCCCAGAGAAGAAAAGGTGGGAGAAGAAACTGGAGTCTTTCCCTTACCTGAGTTGTCTTTAGAATCTGATTCTGAATCGGAGGTCTCCGAGGACTCAGAGGTTTTCTCTGGCAGATGAGGGAGTTGTGCAATATCCATTGGAGTGTCCTTGTACTCTGGGTTGCTGTGGAAGAGGGCATTAGGGGTAAGTGCAAATCAACCAATGCTGAATCATTTTTTAAAAAAATCTCCTCTTCCCTAATTTCCTGCCCCGATCATCTGAAGTTAAGAATTTTAACAGAGAATCAAAGACACAAGACAGTAAAACCTTCCTCTCCACTTGTCACAGCATTTTTTGAACATTTAGTTTTGGGATGTGACCCACATAGAAACATCCTAGTATAACAACTAGACAGCTAAATGCTACATGAAAACCACTAAAATTTTTTTAATAATCAAGAAACTCTGGGGACCAGAGAATAACATGGAGAGAGCTATAGCTAGCATTCCCAGTAAAGAGTCCAAGATGGGGAGGGATAGCTCTTCTCAGTTTCCTCATGCTTCCACAGTGTAAAAGCCCTTATCATGGACTATTGATGTTGCTGTTCACCTCTTCAGATGTCTAAAGCTATTTGAGGAAGGAAAAAAAAATACCCCTACAACCTTAACAACCTAACGCTATGACAGATGCACAGGTGTACCTTGGGATGCATGCATTATGGCTACCAAACTGTCAACACACCCATTACAATCACATTTTCATCTGTTCGTGTGGTGCACACCTGTGGCTTGTTAGCTGGAAACCTGATTGCATTGGGGAAGAGTCCCAGTGAAAAAGTGGGCCTGGCAGATCAGATCTGGCCCCATTAGAAGGGGGAAAAAAAAAGAAAGTGCTTTCTTTTTATTCTGTGTTAAGTTGTGAAGCAGATGTCTTCCATCAAATGGAGGCCATTTGGTTTGTGTGAGTCACTCCCCTTTTGGGAAACTTTTTGGGAAAATTTCAGGGTAGGCTTTACATGTAAGAGATTACTACCACTAACTCATATTCATATAGAGCTTTATTGTTTCCAAAGGCTTTCATATTCTCAAGACAATTCTGTAAGGTAGTTATTATCCCCATTTTGTAGATGAGGAAACTCAAATTCAACTAAGTGGCCTGCCCAAGGTCACACAGCTAATAAGTGATAGAACCAGGGCCTGAATCCAAGTGCTCTTCAAAACTGGGCCCATGTCTTAGATTTCTCCTCTTACTCAACCTGTTCCCCTCAATGGCTAGGAGAGCATATAGGACTTCCTCAGTAGAAACTTGTTCAGCAATTAACCAACAGTAGTGAGCTCCACTGAATACACTTTCATTCCTTTAAGCTTAATTTACATTCAAGTCAAGACATCATCTTCATGATGTCATTGGTCCTCTTTAAGAAGGACAGAAGAACTACAACAGAAGGAAGCTATTCTTTTTTTCATTCAATAAATATTTAGGATGTGACTACTGTATTCAAGGTACTGTGATAGGCTGGTAAGGTCAATGTAAATATAAATGAGAAGGGGTCCCTGATCTGAAGAACCTTATCATCTAGCAATACAAATACCCCCAGGGGAAGGGGAGAGGACAGGAATCAATCTGCCTATCAGTCATTCAGCCCTTAGTAGGACTTACTTTCTTGGAACTTTCCTTTTAATAATTAATTGAGTTCTTTAGGTGGAAGGTTGGATTAAATCACTTTTCAAGTCTCTACCATTTATAGGGTTCTGTGAGTCAATAACTATTAGCTCCCTCTAGAGAATAGGATTTTGATGGGGTGGGGGTAAATAGGGAGCTGTTCGTCTACTTCTCTATTTGCGCTCAACGTCTAGGCAACTGGGACTGCCGACTGTGGCTTGAACACATTTCAGAATTTCCTGCCTACTTGTCATTGCTCATATTGTTTTGCTTAACTAGATTGTAAGTCCCTGGAGGACAGGGACTATTTTCACACTTGTTTTTGTATCCCTAGCATCTAGCACAGTGCCTGCTACACAGTAGGTACTTAATGAACGTTTGTGTTTATGTGTGTTTGTTCCATTCCTCCTCTCTTTCCAATTTACTGTTTCCCTTTGGAGCTCCTTGTAGGTAAGGACTTTGCCTTACTACATTGCATTCCTTTGCAGTCTTTGCATTCCTCTCAGCATCCCCTGGATGTACCTTTCTTATGAGTAGCAGACATTCAGTAAATATTCACTAAAGTGAATTTTGCTAGGAGTAGCACTATTGCCGTAAGCTCTATTGCTCTGAACAGTGTTAATTGGTGAATGATAGAGCCTGTCTGGGGATTCTTTGCTAAACCCCAAACAGCTTGGCCTGATGCCACTGGCATCACTCAATTCTGATATCACGAGGATTCCTGGGCCTTTGGCCACACAACTCCCAACCTCTTTGGCCACTGCTTTCAATCTTGCTTCTAGGTACAGCTAGAACAGGCCCTCTAACCTTGTGCTTTTAACCTTGGAGTCAGAAAGCTGGGTCATGTTACATTGTTGTTGCCCAAACTCTTTCGCTTCTCGCTCAGGGGAAAATCAGAATGGGATTTCCCAATTAGCTTGCCCAACCCCAGGCAAGATGACTTGAACTTTCCTTTCTTTCTCTTTCTTCCTTACTTCTAGTCATACCTTTAATCTTTAAAAAAGAAAAATCAGAAGGCAAATTAAATAAGAGGATTAAATGAGATTGCATATGTATAAATGTATATAAATAGATATGTGTACATTATATATAGTGTTTTACAAGCCTTAAAGCACTTATAAGTGCTAGGCATTATAATTACTACTACTACTACTACTACTACTACCACCACTACTACTACTACTAGTTATGTGGGCAGAGAGAGGGTAGGGACCCTTGCAATCCACTTGCATGGGGAGGGTAAAAGGCGAAAGGACAGAAAGTACTCAGAAATAATGTCTTTATGTATTAGGGCACAGTACTAGGTACTGTGGGGCAAACAGAGATAATCTGGGTCCTATAGCAGCTCATAGTGTAAAAGGGAAAAAAAGATATGACAAGGTACGATCAGTGCTTGATAAACGGTTCAGTTAAAGACCAGGGCCAAGAGCGGAGACTCAAAACCATGGCATAAGAGAATCAGTTAGAGGAAAGCAAGATGATTAGCCTAGAGAAGTGGGGGCAGTTTTTAGGTTTCTTGGGCAGTTTTAAGAGGCAGCAGAGAAGAGCACTGGGATTACAGTCAAGAACACCTGGATTTGAATCCTGCCCCAGACATTTGCTAGTTGTGTGAGCCTGGGACGTCTCACCTCTCCTGGCTTGTTTTCTCATCTGAAAAATGAGGGGGTTGGATTGAATGATCTCTGAGGTCCCTTCCAACTCCAAATTGATGTGATTTTATAAGTCTTTTGAGATCTCCCATATGGAAAAAGGACCCTGGCCTCAGAAGAAAGAAGCTAATTAGAACAAAAGAAGGAAATTGTAGAGAGAGGCAGATTTCAATTCAACACAAGGAAAAATTTCCTAAAAATCAGACCCATCCCAAAACTACAATGGTTGGCTGGCTGCCTTAGGAATTAGTGAATTCACAAGCACTCTAGGAAGACACACTTTAAGTATGATGACTGCTGCTGGGGTTGCTGCAGAGGGGATCCCTCCTGAGATATAGATCAGGCTAGATGTCCTCTGGGGTTCCTGGAATTTTTAAGGTTCTAGGATTCTATCCTCAGAATAAGATCCTGGAATGGGAAAATTCCTTGGAAGGGAACAATGAGATAACAGTATTCTGGCTACCAAGAGTTATATAAAAAGCAATTTGATGGAATGGTTATTTCAGTTGTAGAAACCTGCATCTTCTGGTCTCTGATGCATCTCTTACATATTTCTAATAAGCACCAGCAGTTTAGTAATTTCTTTTTGTTTCAAGCACAATTTAAGAAAAATTTTTTGCACATGAAACTAAAAATCTATTTTGCACAAGTTGCTATTCCATTTACATATATAATAAATTTCTTTTTTTTCTCTTTCTTTTCTTCCCTTCCCCCACCCCCTGCTAGAGATGGCTACCATGAGACACAAATACATACATACATACATGTATATAGTATATATATATGTGTGTGTGTGTCTATATATATAGACACATATAAATATATATGTAAAATCATTCTATACATACTTCTATTTATCAGTTTTTTCTTTTGATGCAGATAGCATATTTCTTCATATGTCCTTAAATTAAACATGTGAAAGCTTTTTTTAAAAACAATCTCATAGAATTATAGATTTAGAGCTGAAAGGGACATTAGAAGGACATCAAGTCCAATAACCTCATTTTAGAGGTAAAGAAACCAAGGTCCAGAGATTTTCAGTGACTTGCCCAGGGTCACACAGCTTGTAAATATTTGAGGCAGAATTTGAACCCAAGTCCAGAATTTGACTCCAAGTCCAGCACTCTGTTCACTCTACAAAGCAGGCTCCTCTGAGCCTGGACTTTTTTGTTTCCTGCCAAATTGAAATTGTGTCTAGTTACAGAGTTTCAAACCCACAATATTTTTAGCCATTTCTGTTTAGAAGGTGAATGTTATGACCTACCATAGTCTCTGTCCTACAAAAAATGCACATAAACTGGAGATCTGTTGATATCTAAGGACATTTGGTTATATCACAAAAATAGTGCAGTTCACACATACTAAAATGGGAAAAAGTCTGCATTTATCACTCTCACACTCACTTTAGTGAAAGAGTTAAAATTTCCTTCCAAGTGGAGGAAAAGAGGTTGAAAGCAAAAAAAAAAAAAAAAAAATCAAGATCTATGAGGATTCAGTAAGTGGTGCACATTAAGGTCTTCATAAAAGTAATAATCATTAGTTTCTGATTGATATGCTATTGGTAGAGAGCAAATCCTTACCTTCAAATCAGAGACATCCCAAACTACCTGAAAACAACTGAAGGGGTCAGTGAGCAGACGAGCCAGGATCCTTAGCTCCTTGGCTCCATTTGGCTGTCTTAAAGAAAAATGGGGCTCAGTACTCTTCCGTTCATAAGCTCTGCTGGAAGGTTCCCAAATCAGACTATAAGCAGACTTCATTTTGTGGCTGCAGGCCAGGAGAAGCCCAAAGCAGAAGGGCCATTTTACGAGTAAAAGACAGTGGTGCATTTGGGCTAGCTTCCCAGTGGCCTGACTTGAATATCAGGGCATAGAGGATATTTGCCCCTGGGTATTAAGGTATTCAGCGTAGTTTCCTGCTGGTCTGAATCCGACTGGAAAGAATTTTTATCTATTGCTATTTGGCTAACTTGTGCATCTGACTTCATCCTATCATGGGTATAAATTTGAGGTCATAATGATATGTGTGACTTTAAGCAAATGATTTTACCTCTCTGGGCCTCAGTTTCCTTATTTGTAAAATGGGCCATAGAGAGAGAGCTTTTGCAGTCTCTTTTAGCTCTTGATCTGTGATTGTATGATACTATCCTCAGCTTATCTCTCCCAATCTGTATTTCTGATAAGTTGTAAGATATTTCCACCTCAGTATCAACAAGTTCAAAAGTGAACTCTGATCATCTTCCTCCCAAGACCTGACCCAGATCCAGCTTCTAACATTCAGTAACTATGTGGCTTTTGTCTCTGGGGTCCCTCCTAGTTTTTAACTTATAATCCTATGAGACAATATAGGCCGAAAGGATTTTGATAAAAAGCCTTATTCAAGTGTAAGATAACATAGTTATTGGCTTTGTAGAGTGTTTCAAGGTTTATAAAGTGTTTTCCTTATGACAATTCTCAGAAAAAAATATTTGCCAAATAAGGAAAGTATCAAAAAGTTACATGAGAAGTACCATCCCCATTTTATAGATGAAGAAACTGAATCTCAAAGTGACTTGCCCAAAATCACACAATTAGCCAAGTATTGGAGTTGAGATTCAACTCCAAATCTTCTTTGTCTTTCTAATATACAGAATGTCCCCAAAGTCTTAGTGCAGTTTTATTACAAATATGGTCCTGCCTTTTAACTATAAAAGTCATTAAAATATTTCCTACCAACAATCCCCAATGCCCAGGAAAACAGGCAATGGCCCACATACCCAAAGGAGTTTGGGCTTAATGAGGAATAATATAATATGCTCTGTCCCTCTTTCCTATCCCTTTTTTGTTCAATTTCTGTGACTGGATGTGTACATATGCTATATGGATGGTATGTCTTTTCGGTGGTGCTGCTCTGAATGTGTTTTGTGGTTTGTAAATACTCTGTTTTTTTGTCTCAGGGAGATGAGGAACGGTAAGGATGGGGAGGACAGGAGCTCAAAGAGATATCCTTGTTAAAGGTGGAGAAACCAATGCAATTTTTGTAGAATACCCACAGCTTGGCGATGATGGGCAACTGTTAGCAAGGCAGATCTGGAATAGCCTTTAGTTTCAGCTTGACTCTATAGCATCCATATGGGTCTTTAGGAATGAAGAACCCCTTTCCCGTGCCAGGATTCCGTATTCTTCAGCACCAAGTACTTCTAAAAAGCCAGGGCTTGTATCTCATTAACTACCAAGCACAGCTTTATACATGTTTTACGGCCCCTTCGCTCAGGTAACAGGGACAACAGTGGAAATGATGGAAAAGATTTGATGATATACCTAAGGAGATAATTGACCCAGATGATGTTCTTCTCATTTGCATTCTTGGCATTAATAGCTATGGTGGCACTAGACTGTATCCAAATATATCCTCCGTTCTTCTGCATCCAGCGGTAGTATTTAGTCACACACTGACCCTTATTCAGCACTGAAAAGAAAACAGAAAGAACAAAAGGCATTGTGTATTAACATCACAATCCAATGACTTTCATCTCTGCAAACCCCCCAAGTACAGAGATGGAAGGCACCGCACAAAGGCGAGAGGTGCCCCTCTGTATGCTTAATGTAAGATTCCATTAGTATGACAAATAAAATCAACAATTCACTGGAGCATCGGCTCAGGAGCTGTGGGTTACTACCATTTGTAGCAAGATTTTATTCCATTTTTGGCAGCTCTGGTGTGGAAGGAAGAATAAAAGGACCACAAATCTTTTTGGCTCAGAGAACACCTAATGCTGTGTGGACATTTTCAATGGGTTTGACGTCAAATTGTAAGAAGGCAAATTTGTATGTGATTTATTCATAGCTCCTAGGCAGACCTCTTTGAGATTCTGGATATTTGAAAGGTTCAGGAGTGGGCTCTCTCTTTCATTCTTTGATCATTTCTCCTCATTGCAAGCAATATCAACCAGTGAGCTTATACATCTGTTCCTTTTGATCTTGTCAAACAGAATTTACAGTTCTCCGATGAACTAAATCTCCATTGGTCAGTAGGGGGAAAGTCTGGTGAGACTTTGCTTAACACTGGAACAAAATAAATCCACCAAAGGAATCGGAAAGAAACCGTGGCCTAAGGGAGGCACAGAATTGACTCAGTTCAAGCCAAACAGAGTGACAGCTCTGTACAGCCTCTGAAATATGACCAAAAATGAAGGAACAAGTAAAAACAATCAGTAATGTGAAACGCCGGCCATTAAATACCCTACTGAAAGGGAGCTTTAAAAATGCAGATGTTAAAAATGATACTTTAACCAAAGTGTTGCCAAGTTGAAATTGATTTGATTTGTATCTGGGCCCTCCTGAGCTAGTAAAAGGAGAATGAGCAGTAAATCATGCCCTGAAATAAAGTGCTATAGATTGGAATGCTTTAAAAGGATGCCTGGAATGTGCAAAACCTGGGTGATATTACTCAAATCCGTGTTCGCTTTGGCTGTGTTTCTCTGCAAAGGCCACGAAGGCATCGGGCACTAGGGGGCAGTGTGCATTCATCTACGTCTTCCGCTTTTGGCATGTCCTTGTCTCCGTCTGCTAAAATGAAAAACCTCTAACTGCTGTAATAAATTTGGCTAAATTAGCTGCTAAATGGTTATCTCAAGTAATATGTATTTGCATTAATCATCTTGCTCTAAACCAGAACAAGCCAGAGTCCTAAAGACGTAGTAAATTCATATTGTCCATTTAATTATGGCTAATAAGTGCTCCATATACAATAGTTTCATGAAGTACATTTTGATTTTTCTGGGGGGGTGGGGAAAAGAAAGAAGTCACTTTGGAAGAGAACAGTGTTCAGCGCTGTTAAAGTTCTTACCATAAAACCAGGAGCCACTTTTCATAGTTCCTAAGATAACCAAATGTCAGAGCCTCAGAAATATTATGTTCGTATGTAAATGCATGGTGCCTGACCTCATACTCACACACATTCCTGTGAGCCCATCAGGACTCCCACAACCATCCCTCGACACTTTAACTGTCACAAAAAAAAAGGAAAAGAAAAAGGCCTAGTTCTAAAAAGCGTTTCAAACAGCAGGGAGGTCTCCCATATTCTCTATTTGCTGATGTTTTTAGCGACTCAAACCAGGTTGTACTGCCATCGTCTTCTCTTGGTCTAGATGCACCAAGAGGATCCCCGTATTTCCTTTTCACATGCCATTCTAAGTTTCTGACATTCCACACGCATGGCTTCACAAGCTACGAAACTACATGGTTAAGCTGAAAGCAGGTAAAATACTAACCACCGACGATACAGCTTTTCTATCAAACCACTGTTGCATGCAACATGACACGATTTTATTCAAATCCTCTGAACTCTGTTAACAGTTAATATTTAGAGAGAGAAAGAAAATGAGATAAAGGTCTTATCCAAAGTTATGTGATTCTACCCCCTATTTCCACAGAGTAATAACATGTCCCCCTAATCAATAGCTGATATGACACACACACACACACGTATGTGTGTGTATATATATACACGTATATATCTGTGTGTATATATAAACACGTGTGTGTGTATATACTTACATATGTGTGTGTATATATACACTTATATATGTGTGTATATAAACACTTATATGTGTGTATACATAAACACTTATGTGTGTATATATATACACTTACATGTGTGTATGTATACACTTATATGCATGTGTATATATGTACACTTATATATAATACATAACATCTATGCATATATACACACGTGTACACATACACATATACACACACATATATGTATACATAAATATATACATATGTGTGTGTGTGTATATATATATGTATATACAAACTTGACTTTGGAGTATGGAGTGATTTCAAATGGATGTGTTGTCCATAGCTGAGGCTCAGAGACAAGGGAGCTGCTTTTTGAATGTTTTAAAGAGAGAAGAAAGAGAAAAGGTGGGTAAGCCCAAACCTGCACAGATTAGATATAAAGTACCGGTGTTGTTCCACTGAAGGATGATGCCAAAAGAAGTCTTTGTTTTTTTTTTTTTTGTTTGTTTTTGTTTTTTGCTTTTTGGTGAGGCAATCGAGGTTAGGTGACTTGCCCAGGGTCACACAGCTAGTGTCAAGTGTCTGAGGCTGGATTTGAACTCAGGTCCTCCTGACTCCGAGGCCAGAGCTCTATCCACTGTGCCACCTAGCTGCCCTCATAATTTCATTTTTGATATTTTAAAAGAACTGTCTAGAAGTAGCTAGGTAGTGCAGTGGATAGACTTCCGAGTCTGCAATCAGGAAGTTGTTCAGTTGTTTCAGTCATGTGTGACTCTTCATGGCTCCATCTGAGGTTTTCTTGGCAAAAATACTGGAATGGTTTACCATTTCCCTCTCCAGCTCATTTTTTTCAGATGAGGAAACTGAGGCAAACAGGGTTAAATGACTTGCCCAGAGTCACATAGCTAGTGTCTGAGGCCAGATTTGAACTTAGAAAGATAAGTCTTCCTGATTCCAGGCCCAACTATCTGAGTTCAAATCCAGCCTCTGATATTTACTAGCCACGTGACCTTAACCAAGTCACTTAACCTCTATTTGCCTCAATTTCTTCAACTATAAAATGGGGATAAGAATAGCACCTACCTCCTAGGGTTGTTGTGAGGATCAAATGAGATCACATTTGCCAAGACACTTAGCACAGTGCTTGGCACATAGCAGCTGCTACTATGATTATTATTAATATTGCTCTAAATTCCCAAAAACACTTTGTGCCCCTTTTATGGCACCCCCACATTATGCCTTGTATTATAGCTGTTTCTTCCACTTCCCTTTTCTTACAGTACTAGACTATAAGCTTGTTGAGGGCAGGGAGAGTGTTTTATTTGTTTTTGTGTATTCTTCCCCTTGGAGAGCCCCTTGATTTTAAATTCTAAAATTCTAAAAGCATTATGAGCAACTAGATAATGGTTCTTCTTTTTTCCATATATTTGCTCAATACATAATTGAATGGATGAATGAATGATTATTGTTTGCCCTCTCAGAAACCCTATAAACCCCTAACTGGAACATATATATAAATATAAAACTCTGATAGAATAGCTAAAACAAATATCGGGAAATGGAGGGACCATTAAAAAAATCAGTTATCATCTGTAAGGTGATAGGTAGCTAGGTAGTGCAGTGGATAGACCACCACACTTGGAGTCAGGAAGACCTGAGTTCAAATTTGGCCTCAGACACTCATTGACAGTGTGACCTTGTGCAAGTCATTTGACCTCTATCTGTAAAAAAAGGATAATATTAGCACTTACCTAACAGGGTTAGGTTTTGAGGATTGAATGAGATTGGATTTGTAAGGAGTTTAGCACAGTGCTGGACACAGGGTGGGTACTTAATAAATTCTGGTTCCCTTCTTCCTCCTTCCCTTTCCTTATCTTGTCAACATCAACAATTTCTCCCAGAGAGCCCACTGGCACTCTGCACACACTGATCAGAACACAGTTTAGGAAAGTTTGTATTAGTGCATTAACAACCCACTGGCACATGCCAATACACTTCCATGTCAGATTAGCTAACTGTTATCCAGCCCAGGCCAGAATTGAAAGGGAAGGGTAGAAATGACAGTAGATTTGATTTGATAATGGAAGGGGCTAGAAAAGGGCTTGATAGTTGGAACATTGCTTAGGAAAGAAAGGCTAGGTGACAAAGGGGAGTCCACAGGTGGGGGTGGGGTTAGATGTGCTGCCTTGGGGTCCTGATAACTCCTGATGGGAGCTGCTAACAGAGAGGAGGGGGCCCCTTAGGGGAGATGAGTGCCTACAGAAGACAAAGTTTGCCAGCTTCACAGTTTTGCCTAGGGCTGGCCCTGGAGGCCGCCGTACAAACAGAATCTTGAAAAGGTAGGAAGAGTTTAAACCCCGTTGCTGAATTTTCAATCAGAGTCAGTTTTATTTTGGCTACATTATAACGAGTATTTCCCTAAGATGACAATTTCCAGCCTGAAACATCAATGGATCCCAATGGCCGGGGAGGCCTGCTGACCACAAAACCAGGCAGCAATAGAACCCAATTTTCTTCAGTATTGGGTAGGACTAACACCAAAGGCAGAGGCTGGAGAAGGTCTGTTTACTTTACAATTAACCAAAGGGTTTCTGACATTTTCGCTTAGGGGCCTAGAATGTAAACTCTTGACACTAGGATGAAGCTATTTCTTCTCCAAAAAAAAAAAAATCACATTGGCAAATCAGCTGGATCACTCCAGCTGTGCCCTAGGCAGGATCTGACAGTTTTTCCTGAACTCATGCGGTCCTAATCAGCTCAAGAAGAAAAGCCACCTTGGTAACAGCTTGAAAGAGATTTTTAGTTTAAGTTATAAATGAGCGAACCTGAAGGAAAAAAAAAACTGCAAAAAACTTTTTTCTATTCTCTTTAATCCAGAGGCTGTTGTTTTTTATTTTATTTTTTAATTTTTTATTTTTGAGGCTTAGCCTCAGAGATCAG